TAAGGAATATTGGAGCTTCAGGGGTCTGCCCAACTTCCAGAAGGCCTCAAACACCTCGGCAGCGCGCAGTGCCAAAAGCGTGCCCTCCTAACAGACTTGGACTCGTCAACGGTGAGGTCGTTTCTGCCGTAGATGCCCTGCGGACCCGGCAAGCGCAGTGGCCTCGGCCCGAAGTCGTCCTCCCGCCGTGCATTCGAAAAGGTGCCGCAGGGGGGTCCAAGCATTCCTGCGTCCAACTCGCCAGCCTTGATCCTGTCCAGCAGCGTGTTGTAAATGATGTCGTCAAGGAGGTCGTACTCCCTGCCGTTCTCGATGTCCCAATCCTCGCCATCAGCTCCAGCCGCCTTAGCGTAACAGAGTAGGCCATCCCGCCTGCCAGACGGGCCGCTGAAAAGGTGAAGTATCTGCTTGGATTTGGAGTGGCTCCGGGTCTGTCCAGGGGTAGCCGGCTTGAAATCTCCAGGGGCGTTGCCGCCGTCACAGACCTCAGCAGGAACCAAGGCAGCAGCTGTCATCGCCTGATGTGAATCCACCAGACGAGTCATTGGCGCTGCCAACTTCGGGCCCACAGCGAGGCCCTCTTGGATTTGCCGCCCTTTCTGCCCCCTCCTCCGCCTCCCTTGCCTTTGTAGGTCCGAGGCGCTTTGGGGCCGGAAGCTGGGCACACTGCGGCGCCGTGATCTTCCGAAAGGCACTTTGCACACTGGTGCCGCGAGCGGCTGTCCTTCGAACACATCCCCCAGCGGTCCCTTTCAGTGCATTGGCCTTGCTGAAATCCAGAACAAAGAGAAGCACCTCGCCGGTTATGCGTGAGCAGCCCATCATCTCCAATCCGATGTTCACGACTGCCAAGTTGCTTACGCTTGTTGCCACCTCCGCCCAGGCCAGAACGAGTGTCAGTCGGCGGCTGTGGCTTCGATGGGTCCACGAGGGCGACCTTCTCCATCTTCGCCGTCTTGGCCAGGACGAGCAAGGCGGGCTCCTCTAGCTCGGAGGTCGATGAGGGCGTTCCACACCCACTCCCAGGGAGCCGCTGTGTCAAAGTCATGACTGCCGCCCGCCTTCTTGGCCTTGTCGTGCTCATCCTTGCCGATCCTGCGTAGGCGCTCACAGTTTTCAAGCCTGGACCGAACGTCAGCCTGGTAGATCAAGGCCCAGCAGTCTCGCCCATACCTTTCGTGGTAATTGCGAATGTGCTTCTCATATGCGTCCAACCTTGCCGGACTGATCTCTTCAAACATGATGGCCCCCACCTTGAAGACCGCGTAACACTCTCTCCAAGCTTCGAAATCCGAAGGGCCCATGAGCTCAACCGTCTGGATCTCGCCGAGCTGATTCAGCCTGACCCCTTTCAAACGTCTTTTGCGTTGCAGCCTGTGGTGATAAGGGCCCCACACCGCCATATCGACGTATGGTGCCCGACCAGACTTGAAAAGCGCATGCAATCCAGTTAGCTGCTCCTGGCTGAGCTCCTCCTCTGCCCTCGGAAAGGCGCCGATGCGTTTGACGTACTTGGAGTAGGCGTTCGCCACCGTGGTCTCGTCAAGGATGTCCACGTCGCAGTCATCGTCCTGATTTATTACAGCCAACAACTTAATCTTCCTCTTACTGCCTGCAGAGGTCGTGCTGGTGACCGTATTCGTAGTCGAGCACATAGTCCTGCACGTCTTCCCAAGGACCCCGACCTGCCCGAGCTGAATGGGGCTCGGAGACTGATCAACCAAGGGGTCAGCTGGAGAGGCCCCGGGCATCTTCAGGACCCAAGTGCTCACCAGCTTGGTGTAATCCGCCTCAGTCAAGGCCGCCAGAACTCGTGGGTGTTCACTGCCATCTGAGCCCAAAAGGCGCAAGAAGCTTCCAAGAGGCGTGCCCAAGTCGCCCACTGCACCAGCCAGGCCTGACCAGGCCGCCACTTTAAGTATGGTGTCCATTTGGGACCATTCCTGAGTGGTGGGGATCGACATTCAGCCGAACTGTCACGCCTGAGGGCAACCGCAGCGTCTGGCAGCTGGCCGCAGGAGGAACAAAGGAGCTGAAGAGCGTGTAGAGGGCCACCAGGAGAATCACTCCCAAGGAACACCCCAGCTTGACCCAGTCCAGATCAGAGGTGTCCTGCCAAGCAGCGCTCCGCCACAGCACGGGCGAAGACATGAAAGCAAATTCGAGCTGCTTGGCCCAGGTGCTTTGAGCCCCCTTGGCTGCAGCAGTTAGGAAATGTCATGCCCTCCCCTTCCACCCATGGCATTTCGCTATATTGTTACATGCACATAAATGTTCCTTCCGAAAAAGTTTAAAATAAGGGCGAGAAGGAACGTGAGCATGGTGCCAACTCCTACTGAATTCGCTTGAAACACGCTGCCCAGCTTGGCCCAAGACACCCACAGAGGCGATACAACGGTCTGACACAAAGTTCAACACTGACAGGCTGTTGGCGATCCCCTGGCAACAGCAACAAATCAGGGGTCTGACCATCACAGGGATGATGTAGGTGCACCATCTCCTCGTGAGCAATGGTTGCTGGTATGTGACTCACAATTTCAAACGCTAACTTTGAGGCCCCTTATCACTCCAAGCCACAGTGCTCCATTCCAAAATGCTCTATTACGTTCTTCCCTTGCTCTGCTAAATCTCAGTTGTTCATTCCCGAGGCACGGGCCGAAAGAGCATCACAGGCCCGACTGCACATTGCTCACAGATAGGTCTAGCTCGGAAAAGGCCGAGTTGGGGAGGCATGAAGCTTATCGCGAGCTTGAACGGTATGCGGATTTTTTTTTTAACCTTCCGGTGCTTTGATTTTTAGTCTACGAAGTCTTCTTTGATCTATGGGGTCAGGGATGTGGCCGTTCATGTTTATCCGGAGTGCAGCATTTCCGCCGTATGCTGAGAGTCTTGCATGTCCTGCATTTCCCACAAAACCTTGTATTGAATTAAGATCATTTATCTCGGCTCGGCTTGGCTTGGTGGGGATTGGCATGCATTGACTTAAACGGAACTACATGTTTAGCCATACCCTTCCATGTTTTGTAGCATTTACGCTGAAGGCCTTGATGGCATCAAGCCTGCGCGTTGCAAACGAGTCGAATTCATGGGCAGGACTGACACGCGGAGCACACGAAAGGTACCCGGAGCCAGCAGGCTATATATACCTTATTAAAAGTGGTAGTTTCCATCTTGTTTTTGTGCCATTATCCGCATGTAATCCCCATAGAATAGATTTATCCCCAACTGCACAGGGTAACTATTCAATGCACAGCGCAGAGCAACAGCATTTTCGGCACCATACCTGTGATCCCTTGGCCGCAGCGGTGACGGAAAACCTCTGCAGCAGTACGCCCCATGTACTATGCTTCTTAAGCAATTTGATGCAGAGAGGGTGCCACTGGTGAGGCAAAGAGGATATCACTCGCACCATCATGACCCGGTGGTCAACAGAGAGTAGCTGCAGTTGATTTAATCACTGTGGCTACAGGAATCCTATAAGCTACATGTCTATAGACAGGAGCTTTGGATTCACCAAAGGCTTCAGTAAGTCATACTTCCGCGCCACCGACCAAAATGCATCCGTTTCATTGGGCAACACATGCACTGGGCAATGGTCATAGGCATAGCAGAAATGATCTCTTTCTGTGTTTCCTGATCTTGCGCATCCGCAGGTCTCTGGGCAAAACCATGCCAGGGGCCGGTATTTTTCGCCCCCCCTGCACCACTCGTTGCCATTCATGTCCATAGGCAGCGACTGCAAGGCTATGCACCCCACGTTTCGGGCAAAGGTGACCCAGTCTACGAGCGACTGGAATATAGAATAATCAATTCCAGTCTCATGAGAGATGTAGGTGATGTAGTTGTCCCAGAAGTGTTGCCAGCCTGGTCCAGGAGGTGCATCCTTGCATCCCAAGGTGAAGTTTGGCACATTGCCATAGAGAGGACTTGATGCGGCAAGGCTGAATCCGTAGGCTTCTTGGATGCAAGAATCCCGGCACCCGTGGTTGGGGGGCTTCAAGAGCGGCGATGAGAGAGGATCCGTACACCCGCAGGGCAAGCGACTCGCAACCACCTTGCTGCAGAAGTCACGTAATTGGCGAAGCTTCCTTCTTCATTGCACCACGACTTCAGCTCCTGCACAAAGCGCAAAGTCAGAGACAACACGAGGCAACGTGTACTCAGTTCACTCCCAAGGTTCACTGGAAAAGCAGTCTGAAAAGGCACCAAGAAATTCAGTAGTGATCAGCACGCCCTTTCTGTTCCTGCGTTTTCCTAAATTGCCAGCTCCTGGCAACTCTGCGAAGCTGGAAGGCCAATTTCAAAAGCTGCGGCGGCGAGGAAGGGTGACAAGTCCATGACTCCATGTCTGTAGCATTGGTCGAAGCCGTAGAGCCAGTCGTCATACTTGAGAGGCATCCACCCCTGAAGGACACTTAAATGTTGCGAATGGAATGGAGCTACGAGCTTGTTGGAAGAGTTTGTCGGAAAGGCAAACTCCATGGCAACAGCTTGCACATACGTTTGGTTGGCTTCGACGTCGCCTTCATTGGCCGGTTCGGTTGGTGCCATTGAGACGATCAGATTGTTCATGCCAACGGCAAACTCGAGACTTCCTCCACACATTTGCGTCTTCACCGCGAGCATGTCATCTGTAAGAGGTGACAAGAGCAAGAAGTATGGCAGAATAAGCCCGGCCATGAGGATGCCAGCAAGAACAAGGTTCTCCACGCGAGGCCATCGATTGCTCTTCCTCATCATGACTGGAGGCAACCTTTGGATTTGCTGTTGAAGCCGTGTGGGCACAAAGGCAGAAAAAATGAACTCATCCACGTGCAACACGGCCTCCAGCGCCACAGAGTTGAGCATAAGCTCAGTGATGGAGGTCGTACGAGATAGCCACAAAGTTCCTGACACCAAGAGTGCACAAGCCACTGTTGCTCGGCCAAGGCATACTAAAGTCATAGCGGCGGCCAGCCGTCCTGACACTGCTTGACGGGCTTGCGTGGTTTTACCACTTGTCCGCATTTGGCCGAATAAGACCGCCTGTAGGACGTACCACACGCTCCGAAACTCCCGGACGATGCAAATGATCCAAAGGAGAATGCACATCACTGCCAACAGCACCCCAGGTTGAAAGGATCCCACGGCAAATCCCTCTGGCCCAAGTTTTGCAAGACCGAGATAGCTGTTAATGTGGCTGATCAATGTGGCCTGTGCAGTGGAGTAGATCAAAGATCCATCCTCATCGCATACCCTGGTGGCCAAGCTCTGCCCTGAAAGGTCGACGTACGCGACATCATGCGCAAAACTGCCGCGCCACACCCGTGCAGTCTTTGCATTTTCCGAGAAGTCTGTGCCTAGGAACTCGGGAGACGCGATAATGAGAGTGAAGAGGCTCTGCATGGTGACATTCACAAGGAAGAGCGCGCAGGCAAAGACACTTTCAGAAATGTTGCTCGGAGAGATAACCATTGGAATTGACCAGGCACTTTTTCGGTCAAAGCAAATCAACTCCTCCTTTTCATCCTTTTCAGTACCTACTGGACCTACTTCTTCTTGAGGT